CTGACATTGGCCATTTGTGTATTATTTTTTTTCTTAGATTTGTTTCTTTAGTGTTTATTTTAATTTTGTGATTTATTTCACCAAAGGTTTATATTTTTTGTTTCATCAGGTGTCTGTTACTCTTTTTAAAAGAACCAACATTTAGGTTTATTGATCCACTTCATTTTATAAACATTTTCTATTTTATTAATTTCTGACTTTATATACTTGAAGAAACTGGAATGCTAATAAGTAGAGAACGTTTTGAGGTCCGCGTCCAGGGGCGGGTGAGGCCTCATGATCTGCAGGTGTTACTCAGCTGTCCTCTCACTGTCCCATTGCCTGTCTCACTGCTTCCACTGAAAATGTTGCTTCAGAAATATTTGTTGAACAAATTAATGGCAAGTGTAATTATCCCACAGTGACTAATTTTTTCTTTAATCATTAGTTTATGGTTAGTAACAGATTAAATGGTTACCTCATATCTGTTGTCAAAAATAAAACTGGATAGAGAAACTGGTTTTTGATTCCTGATCCCTTGTGTTAGCATTTCTTTTATTGGCCCCAAATTATATTATACTCACTGCAAATAATTATGCTAATTTCCTGAGCTTCTTTCTTTCTTTTTTTTTTTTTGTGAGGAAGATTGGTCCTGAGCTAATATCTGTTGCAAATCTTCCTCTTTGTTTTTTTTCCTCTCCAAAGTCCCAGGACATAGTTGCACATCTTAGTTGTAGGTCATTCTAGTTCTTCTATGTGAGATGCCACCACAGCATGGCCTGAGGTGCGATGCATAGGTCTGCACCCAGGATCGGAACTGGCAAACCCCAAGCCACCGAAGCAGAGTGTGTGAACTTAACCACTTGGCCATGGGGATGCCCCCCCGCTTCTTTTTTTTGTGAGGAAGATTGCCCCTGAGCTAAGATCTGTTGCCAATCTTCCTCATTTTGCTTGAGGAAGACTGTCACTGAGCTAACATCTGTGCCAATCTTCTATTTAATGTGGGATGCTGCCACAGCATGGCCTGACAAGTGGTGCCAGGTCTGCACCTGGATTTGAACCTGTGAACCCTGGGCCACTGAAGCAGAACGCATGAACTTAACCACTATACCACTGGGCTGGTCTCCTCCTGAGCTGATTTCTTTTTTTTTTTTTTAAAGATTTTATTTTTTCCTTTTTCTCCCCAAAGCCCCCCGGTACATAGTTGTGTATTCTTCGTTGTGGGTTCCTCTAGTTGTGGCATGTGGGACGCTGCCTCAGCGTGGTCTGACGAGCAGTGCCATGTCCGCGCCCAGGATTCGAACCAACGCAACACTGGGCCGCCTGCAGCGGAGCGCGCGAACTTAACCACTCGGCCACGGGGCCAGCCCCCTGAGCTGATTTCTTAGTAACACAACTCTGGACAAAAATATAAAACGCCAAGGAAATTGTCTCAATAGGGGCCAGAACCAGGCCTACATAAATAAAATGTTAAAAAAACTGTAAAAATAGAAAGCTCTTTATTGTTGCTTCCACATTCTGGAGAAGAAAATGTGCTCTTTAGAGCACTTCACTCCCTCAGAATGTTTAATGACATGTATTAGTCTGAATTTTTAAGTGGATCCTTAAGTATTATAAGCATTTATTTATTTATTTATTTTCATGCATACTTTGATTCATAGTTATAGAGTTTTTAATTCAAGATATGGTATGTCCCCAGTTTCACTGAAATTTCACAAAATGCGTGCTTGTAGAAAGTGGTGCCTTTCCACTTGTAATTATTTAAAGAGCAAGTTCTTGAGTTTGATGATTACTTATTTTAGATATTAACCCTTGCGTTGGTTTGCTAGACACGTTAGAATGAAATGCAAAGTGTTTTGCAAGTTGATACACAGAAAAGCATAGTAACGTTAAGACTCACAAAGCTGTCATTGGTCTGATAGTGAAAGATAGACTTGAAATCTTATTTTTTAAATGACTTTTTGGAAAAAAACCTCATAGTCCTTTTATGGATTTTCTCTAGTTTTTATTTTTAAGAATGAAGTTTAAGCCTACTTATTGCAAAAGACATTGCCATGAATATAGTAGTTGGTTTATCTAAAGTACATGCCATTAAGTGCTAAACACAGACAGTCATTATTTAAAGGATTCGCGAATCATTAATTCTTGGTGTGAAAAATGATTGACGGTCAAGAAGGTGAAAAGGAAAAAGTGAATTCTTATACAAGTTTTTCAAGATTCCATCTAAATGTAGAATAAGGACTAGGCAAAGATGATATGGGTATGATAGAAGGATGTATGGCATTTATATGCCAAGAAGTCACTATTAAAATGTACTTCTTTATCACATATATTTGCTAGTCTGTCTCACTTGTAATTATTATTATGCTAAAATTAGCTGATTCTATTTAAAATACACATACTGGGCAATATTTTTAGTGGTTATTAGATTTATAGAGATTACTGCTGTGCTATTTATAGCAAAATATTTCAACATTGTTCTAAGCCAGTGCGTCCGAGAGAACTTTATGTGATAATGGAAATGCTCTCTGTGTGGTCCAGTACAGTGGCCACTAGCCACAGGTGGCTATTGAGCACTTAGAATGTGACTAGTGCAACTGAAGAAACGCATTTTTTATTGTATTTAATTTCAATTAAATTTCGCATTAAACATCCACACGTGGCTGACTGTCATATATGGCATGCTATTTACATTTACCTGAGTTAAAACATGTAAAATATTTAGAACAGTATATTTGGCAGATAATCAGTAATTATTAGCATTTGTTGTTGCTGTTGTTATTAATATTATTACACGCTTAAAGCATATTTTGGGAAATAAGATGTTGGTCACATGAATCCAGTTAACAAATATAGTCTTAAAGATTTGTGCAGTAAAAGCCCTGAGAATCTGTCAGCAATACTCCTTGGGATCCATTCTCCTGACATCCACCAGCTTAAAAACAAAATTCAATGGATTTCCAGTCTAGTGTGAAATTTGAGATGTTTTCCTGACTTAAAACTGAGTTATACAATTTATGAACTTGGTGTACTTCTTCTTGTCCCGTCTTCCTCTATTTTTCTTCTTCCTTTGCCTATTTTAAAAATCATAATCGTGAGAATTTGAACTTATATCAAAAAGTTTTCAGAGGAAGAAAGATACACATAAAAATTAATTTTTCATTTCTGAATCTCACATTAAGTTATGAAAACCACATAGGCACATTCCTCTTCTACTTATTGGATAAGAAAAATCTATTTCATTCTTTTAGTTTCACAGAATTGCCATATGTATTGATAAGACCTCACAAAATGTTTGATTTAAACATTTTAGGAGGCATGTAACTTAAGTTGCACCTCAAAAACATTTTAAGTACTCTTAAGAGTACTCTAATTTCTAGTTTCTATTGATTTTCTATCATTACTTGCAATCTGGAGCTACCTATATGTCATGAATTCCCTCAATATTCCTATGAAAAAAGCCAATTTAAGCTGGAGAATCATTTTTATTATCTCTTTTGGAATAAATTACACTTTTCCCACATTTTTCATGTAGTAGCTTCAAGGTCTTTACTAAGACCATATCTAAATTTTAACTCACTGCTTCTTTAACAATCCTGTAAGCTTAGGCAAAGATCCTGAATATATTTGGATGATAGTTTTAAGCTAAAATAAATGCAACTGCAAAAATGCATATGTCCCACAGTGTTAGCAGCCAGACTTAAACAACAACAACTGATCCTCTCTCGTGTGAATTTTTCTAGGATCAGAAATTTTGGTGTCAATAGGAAAGCAGCTGTTAAAAAAAGATAGTCGTAGAGAGCAAAATTAGAATGCAGTTTACGGGGTTCAAGAAATTAACTCAGATAAAATTTGAGACTAATTTATTGCAAGGTTAATGAAAAATAATATTTTTCTCCAGTCTGTACTCTCACAAAAGGCACTAATATATTGCTAGTGAAACTTACCCTGTGTACAACTGACCTTACATTGAGCTCAGAAACGTCCCAAAGGATGGTATGATAGTGACTCCTAAAGTTTTTCTTCCTCTCTCCAAACTCTTGAGAACAGAGGCTGGGATAGACTCGCTAATCACATTCTATCTGATCTATTGTATTCCAGGGAACATTATCACAGGAGACAGGAGCATTTCCTTATTATTATTTAGAGCAGATGCTGACTTGCTTATCTAATAGCTATGTTCCCCTTCTTGTTCCTAACTGACTCCAACTTCCTTTGAGTAGTTACCCTTATCTACTTGACGATAAGCTTCATAGGTCTATTCTTAGCCCCGGGGTATAGGGAAGGGTGTCAGCCAATCATGGTGGTCTTATCACCTTTAAAGGGTTGCCTTGACATGGGCTCTGTGTCTAGGAAGAAGGGTTTTCTTGCTGGTAAAAAGTGACACAAGGAGAAATGGGCCCTTCTCTGCCTCTGAACTTTACTGTGAACCAGATAATGCTGCACCTTGTGTAGCCATCATCTAACCTGTAGGGGAGCTAGCCTGAGGACAGAGCCTAGGAACTGAAACTTGTAAGAAACCAGAGTCTTGGCTAAAGACATGGAGCCGTTACAATAACCAAAGTGGTGCCCTATTTCTCAATTTCCTGATTTGTGGGATAATAATTGACACATTAATCCATCTGAGTAGGGAATTTTCAGTTTCCTCCATCCCAAAACTTCTTAATTCATATATTTTAGCATTATTTTTATATCTATATAAGTTGGGTGTTAAAGGCTTATTTGAATGAAAGCAAGTTTAGGATGATAATTTATCAAACTTTTTGCTAAAATTCAGAAATACCTTTTACTCATGGTTATGTTGATTAGGATTACTATGATTTGTCCATTCCTGCTAGTTTGTATATTGTCAGTTCACCTTTGTTTCTAAGCTCTAAGGCATACAAGTAAGTATTTTAAAACTTCTTTATATTTAGGATATGAAACAATTTGATTCACCACTTTAAAAAATAATCATGATAAAATCAAAGGAAAATAAGAAAGTTAAGTGGAACACTTTATTAAAATATTCAGATATACAATGAAGATAAGGTTCTGATTCAGATTACATGAAAATATTCAATATATCAGTACAAAAATTTATTCATAAATGTAATAATTACATTAATGTTCTGAATCCCTTCTAGTTTTACTATTACATGAGTTTCTATCAGATTTCACAGACTAGAATTTTCTATAAACTACACATACTGGATCACACTTGATCTTGAGGGTACTATTTGAGATGATTAGATATGGTCTCCAGCCTTCCTGATGTTGTGCCATATGACGGATTTGAGAAGGAGTATACAGAACTCTAAAGAAAAACACATTGAAAAGGTTAGGATTTTAGGCATTAAAATAAGACACTTCTTTCCAGATCATGCAGAATGCAGAAAGGTTTTTAATGGATTTCCATCAGAGTAATAACTGGAGCATCCCCGACTCTCTCCAACACCTCTAGTCTACACTGCCTGAACCGCTAACACAGGGCTAGTTGCAGTGTGTGCCCAAGGTCCTCTGGGCATAGGAGCCACTGCCTCATCCTCATCTCTGGTGGGATGAGGGAATGCAGTGGCCAGTATCTTCACTCTCTTTCTATGGGCTGGTTTCTCTAAGCCTACTGCAGTGATTATAGGTAGGTTAAACAAAACAAAACAAAAAACATTAAAAAGAAACCAATAGCCTTCACTTGGGAGAATTATATTTTGTAGAGTATATTAGAAAATCTAAAATGTGGAAGTTCTAAAGGACAAACAATCTGATTTCTTCAACAAATAAATTGCAAGGAAAAGATAACAGAAAATGGAACCTAGAGATTAAAAGAGACTTAAGAGATATGTCTACCAATTTGGGTGCATGTACCTTATATGGATCCTGATTTTAAAAATACAGCAACAACAACATCCTCAACGAAAAATATAAAACCACCTACTTATTCATAAGATAATTGGGATTGGTTGAACACTGACTGAATATTTGATTGGTATCAAGGAATTATTAAATATTTAGGTGTGATACTGTGGTTATATTTTTAAAAAGTTGTTATCTCTTAATGATACAACTGAAGTTTTACAGGTGAAATTAAATGATACCTGAGATTTGCTTTAAAAAGTCTGTTTGACACCAAGATTGAATCCTACTGTAAACTACGGACTCTGGGTGATAAAGATGTGTCAATGTAGGTTGAAACAAATGTACCACTTTGGTGTAGGATGTTGATAATGGGAGAGGCTATGCATGTATGGGAGCAGGGGACATTTGGAAACTCTCTGTACTTTCTGTTCAATTTTGCCATGATCCTAAAACTGCTCTAAAGAAAATAAAGTCTAAAAAAACACCACCACCACTCTGGTGGGTGTAAGGAATGGGTGACAGTAGAGGTGAAACAAGAATGACCCTGGTTAATAATTGTTGAAGTTGGCTGGTGGGTACACGGTGGTTCATTATACTATTTTCGCAATTTCCATGTCAGAATATGAGAATTTTCGCTGAGTGTTTAGAAGAGTATTTTAGAAAGTCTATTTGTCTGTTACAATGCCAGGGAAGGTGCACTTAATTTAATTAATACATTTGTCTCTAACACAATAGAAATCAAAATAGCAACAAAAGTCAAGAGCTATGACAAGATTTCTTATATAGCCATTCTTAGTGGAAGGAAAATAGAATGTGAAAGAGGGATAATTTTTTTAATTAGAATAGAAAATAAAAAGAAAGTGCTTCGAAGGTTCTTGAGTGATCAGTTGCACTGCCGTATGCACACACAGTAGAAAGTGTCTTGAAAGCACGTTGTAAGGTGGGGTTTCGATATGGCCCTCCTCCTGTGCACCAGAGAAGCCATTTTCTCCATAGAAAGTAAAAGATGCACAACACCTTCCTAGCAACTTTTTAATTACTACTGGCTTATGTGATATTAATACAAAAATGTCAATTTTAAAACATTATATTTTAACTCCTTACATCATTTGTATCTTTCAGATACTAAAGTTAAACTAAGCTAAAGATAAAAAGATTAAATTTTCTTTTCTTTAGTAAAAATGAAAATAAGTTTATATTACACCTTCCTACTTTGCCAAAAAGATACATTACACTTACATCCCTTAAATATGCATCTGCTTATTTATTATCCATTAAGTAGGGCTACATTTTTGTTTTTACTCTAGGTCTTGATTGACTTGACAAATCATCTAAATTAATTCTTTCTGTACTCTGGGAAATATCTTACTTCTTGCTTTTATTCCTACTAAAACAAAGTGAAAAGTTCGTATGACATCATTATTAAAGAAAACACACAGGCTGGCCCCGTGGTGCAGTGGTTAAGTTTGCACATTCTGCTTCGGTGGCCCAGGGTTCGCTGATTCCGATACCGGGTGCGGACATGGCACCGCTTGTCAAGCCATGCTGTGGAAGGCGTCCCACATAAAGTAGAGGAAGATGGGCATAGATATTAGCTCAGGGCCAGTCTTCCTCAGCAAAAAGAGGAAGATTGGCGGCAGATGTTAGCTCAGGGCTAATCTTCCTCAAAAAAAAAAAAAGGTAAAAAAGGAAAAGGAAACAGAGAAATAGAAAAGTTAAGCATTGTGTTAGACTTCCATCACATCACCAAGCTTCTAAAATGACTAGAAATCATCTGATTTGACACCTTGTTACTACTAATTTTCAATAACAGTAACAACTGTTTATGGCCTATTTTCATTAAAAAAATAATCTGGGAAAAGTAAAACTTTAGCTTTCTATGTGCTCACTTTGACAAGGGAATGAATCTGATATAATATTTCTAAAATCAGATGGAAGGAAGCTTTCATAGATAGGAAGTGATGTGTCACGGCTAATCCTATTTACACCCAAACGAATGCACATATTACCTACTTAAGAAAGGAATGAGAGAAATTTTACTTGCCATTCTCTCTCTAGCCTACTGCTTTTACACGAATAAAGAGTAGCCCTATGGCCAAGAAAGATAAAATGCACTTTAATTTCTCCTTTCTTCTTCTGAGTTATCAGGTAATGGCCCTCACTGCCACACTTAAATTTAAAGAGAACACCGAATGCTATCCTCCTTTTTGTCTTTTAGAATAAAATATGAAGAAGAGTCAATGAATAGTTACTGTGGGTAGCTGACTAATGGGTTAAACTGATGCTTTCCAGATTTGTCAGCTCTCTGTGAGTGTGAACAACTATCACAAAGCCATTTAACAGTGAACTGATTTTACAAGCAGATTGAAACTGTCCTGGAATGGAAAATTCTCATCACACATTTAGAGAGAGTGAAACTCCTTTCCTCCCTCAGATGGAATAACTCCAGTAAAACATTCCTCTTAGCCAAGATGTGGAAACATGTCCAGACAACACTGTGGTTGGTTGCGTGCGTTTCTGCTTCTGAAACAACATGGTTCACCATTACCACTTACCTCTGTTTTCTCTGGGTTGCTCCAATTCGCATAAACTGGATTAACAAATGCAGAGTTGACACTTCCTTTAGTTTTCCTTAAATCACAAAGGGCCACAGGGGAAAAAAAAAAAAAAAAACCCCAGTAAGTATTGAAATGTACCACAGTACATTTTCATGTTATTTTCTGGTAGAAATCTTTGAGAGACACATTGTCTAGCCAGCATACTTATTTCTATGAATGTACGACCGTAACTAAAGACTTTCTTGTAGGACACCAAAGCAACCAAATTCTTGAAAGTAAATGTAATTTTACCTCTGAATATTTAGATTCAAATAAACCCAGGCAAATAAAAAAGTGGCATAAATTGGCCTTAAAATTTATTTCTTAAAATATTAAATAATACAAAGGGTACAGTGTTAGTAAGAACAATGTAATATAAGGCTGAACTGGTCACAAGGAAAGGCCACCTTGAAGTCCCTTAGATTTGAAAAGTGCCAAATTACCACATCCTAAAGAGCATTTGTCATGACAGTGTCTGTCATATAGATCTACAGCACGTGAGTCTTACTCATTAACATTTTAAACAGCAAATTTAAATAAGAGTGCTTTGAAGAGTTTTTTATGTTAGTGTTTCCTTTCATGAATCATAAAGAGACGTGTCTTTGGAAATCTCACATATTGGTCTAGATCTGCATAATTTACTCTGATTAACTGGGCCCCTAATTGATGATTTTCTTTTTATGCTTTAATTACTTAAGAGTCAATAGACTAATTAGAAGACAACTAGCCCTAGAGTAGGTGATCACAACTGATGAAGAAAAATGCCCATCACAGGAATGAAAATAATATGACCGGACAAATAAATACAGCCTTTTAAGATATAAGGAAGGATCCCATACACGCACACAAACACATACACATGCACTCACACACACACACACACACACACACGATGAAGATTCTCCATCACGGAAGGATGATTGCCAATGTCTTGAGGGCAACCAAGAGGAAAAAATATATAATGCGAGAATATTTTTGCCTAATCAGAGTTTAATGACAATATGCTTATCAATACTATTTCCTTAAATCTTAAAAGAAAAGGCAGTAAAGAGGAAGCTCTTATTGATTTGCTTTTTGAAAAGAAATTGTCAGAGGTATGGCCTCTTATTTCATCTACCAAACCACATGGTTCTCTTCCAAAACTTAGCATTATTAGTGAGCCCGGCAGCATAATCTGGGTAATTGTGTTTGGCTGGCAATACATCCTCCCTGTGGATTCAGCATCTTCTAAAATTTCTGACCTCTGCTGTTTCTTTGCAATTGGCTTAAATACTCAATAGCTTAACCAGTTCACCCTCACTGACTCTATTTTTGTTTATCAATGAAGAGGGCTATAGCAACTATTTTTGTGGGTTATTTTTTGGGGAAAACCCCCATAAATATACTCTTAAATGATGAGGCAACAAGTATCTGTTAATTCCTTAACCACTAATTGAATGCTTATGAGTTGTTCCAATTAAATTGAATATGTAATGTTTGATTCCTTGCCTTTTCTTCCTCCAAGACCAGTCAATGTTAAGTTCCCAGAGTAGTAAGCTCAGTAAATGGTATAGTTGGGCATGAGCCTAGGCAGGGCTGCTACTGGTTGATACCGGATAGGGAGTGAAGGGCAGTTTTGAAAGGTGTCAACATGTCAAAGGTAAGGCTGGTACAGGAGAGACTGAACATGGAGTAGGGAGTATCAAAACAAAATGGAAATTAGGAACTAGTAAAGATGGGACAGCCACAGACACCAATAGCTCAGAAAAATTAATCTCGGCTGAAATCAGGCATGAAATCAAGAAGCAGGAGGAAACCCAACTGCAGGACTAGACAGGACAGATGGTCCAAAGGCTGGGCAGGCAGCCAGGACCTGAAGGGATAGGCTTGGCAGTCAGTGGGATAGAAGTGAGGCACAAGCAACACAAAAGATCTTGCTATGAGGCAGTTGTTTTTGGCTTTCGACTCGTAGGACCCCAGATGACTTAGACCAAGACTGGCAGGACGAAGTCAGGCAAATTGATCAATTTTCCAGTCCTGTTAATTCATACATTGAAGCTACTTCTCCTCTGAAAGGATTTTAAGTCTTCAATAATTTTCTATTAAAATGAAAAGAAATTGTAGGTGGCCTGCCTTTGGGGGTTGGGTGACTACAAATAGGGAAGGGTGTTATTTAAGGGTAAGAATGTGGATTTGTAATAAAAGAGGAAAGGGCCACAGCATGAGTAGTGGAAGGTGAGCAATGGTAAATCTTTCCTACTTCAAATTGTTTATTAGCAATCCCAAACTACTTTTATTTTTCCCAGATCAAAGGCATCTCTCCCAATATTGGAAATCTCTGAATTGTTAGGCTTAGTTCTTAATGTCTTTCCTATTTATAGGGTAAAATATTACACACCATCCATAGATATTTCCATTAAGTAAATTTCTAGTGTCTACTCCATTCATTTACTATTTCAAGTTCTATGATATAATTTTCCATCTTCATCAATTATGTAAGTTTGACATTCAAACATAAGCAGTTTACTTAAAATGATGGATCCTTATACGACGAAAACAAAATGTTTGCTTGATTAGAAAGTTTTCTGCCAGTTCTAACACTGTATGGTGCAAGATAAGTCTGCATTAGGCTAAAAAATGATATGTTTAACTTACTGTATTTGTCAATAGACACATGGCTCTTAAAGAGCTGAGGTTTCAAATAATCTAACCATCTCTAGTAATCAGCAAGGAATTGACTTAGAAGTTTGGAGTTAGAGGAAAAAAGGCTGCATGGATCACATGAGTTTTCCACCCATAACTTATCATGCACTCATTTATATTATTATTAAATTTCTGCTACATCCCATATGTGCAGGATATGGGAATTTCCAATTTAAGTTTAGTGAGCATATGCATACCTCTAAAAGAATTCCCTTCATGACTTATTAACTAATGAAATTGTTTTAGTGTTGACCAAAAACACAGAAGTGTTTATAACAGATATCTGAAATTACTGTAAATGGGCAATGAAGAAAAACAAAAAGCATAAAACAAAACTCATCTATGTTGCATCCAGTAAACATGAATTTGAGGTAAATGTTTTATCTTATGTATATTTTAACAGCTTTTTTGAATTATAATTCATACCATGCAATCCACCCATTTAAAGATATAATTCAGTGCTTTTGCAGTATTATTAACTTTATTAATTTCATTATTAATTTCAAAAATTGTTGTAAAATGTATATAACATAAAATTGTCAGTTTAACCATTTTTACTGTACAAGTCAATAGCATTCATTGCATTCACAGTGTTGTGCAACTGTCATCACTATTTCCAAGCTGTTTTCATCACCACAAATGGAAACTCTGTAGCCATTAAAAATTACCTCCCCATTCTTCCCTTCCTCTGCCCCTGGTAACCTCTAATTTACCTTCAGTCTCTACGAATTTACCTCTTCTAGATAATGTGTATGGGTGGAATCCTACAATATTTATCTTTTTGTGTCTGGCATATTTTACTTTGCTTAATGTTTTCAAGGTTCATCCATACTGTAGCATGTATAAGAACTTCAGTCATTTTTATGGATGAATAATATTCCGTTGTATGCATATGCTACATTTTGTTTATTCTTTCATCTGATGATGGACTGGACGCTTGAGTTGTTTCCACCTTTTTGGCTCACTGCTGTGAACACTGACATATAAGTATCTATCTGAGTTCTCATTTTAATTCCTTTGTATGTAAGTAGGAATGGAATTGCTGGGTCATATGGTAATTCTATTTTAGCTTTTAGAGGAACACAGCAAACTGTTTTCCATAGCGGCTGCACCATCTTACATTCCTACCAATAACGTGTGAGTGTTTGCTTCTATTTCTCCGCATCCTCACCAACGCTGGTTATTTTCTGTTTTATTGCTATTATTATTGCCATCCTAATAGGTGTGAAGTAGTATCAATTGTAGTTTTGATTTGTATTTCCCTAATGACTAATGATGTTGGGCATCTTTTCACATGCTTATTGGCCATTTGTGTATCTTCTTTGAGGAAATGTCTATTCAAGTCTGCTTATTTTTTTAATTAGGTTGCTTGCCATTGAATTGTAGGAGTCTTTATACATTTTTGATATTAAGCTCTTATCAGGTATATGATTTCAAATATTTTCTCTCATTCTGTGAGTTATCTTTTCACTTTCTTGATAATGTCCTTTGATGTGGGACAGTTTTTGATGAAGTCCAATTTATCTATTTTTTCTTTTCTTTTTTGTTCTTTTGGCAGCCTATCTAAGAATGCATTGCCAAATCCTAGGTCATGAAGATTTACTCCTGTTTTCTTCTAAATTTTTTATGGCTTTAGCTCTTATATTTAGGTCTTTGATCCATCTTGAGTTAATTTTTGTGACTGGTGTGTAACTTCATTCTTTTGCATATGGAATTCTAGTTGTTCCAGCACCATCTATGGAAGAGACTGTTATTTTCCCATTGAGTGGACTCGGTACTCTTGTCAAAATTCAACTCGTCATAAATGCATGGGTTTATGTTTGGATTCTCAATTCTAGCCCATCAATCTATATGTACATTCATATGCCAATACCATACTGTTTTGTTTGCTGTAGCTTTGTGGTTATGTTTTGAAATCAGGAAGTGTGAGTTCTCCAACTTTGCCCTTTATCAAGATTGTTTTGGCTCTTTGATGCCCCTGCAATTCCATATGAATTTGAGTATCAGTTTCCCATTTCTACAAAAAAGGCTGTTGGAGTTTTAATTGGAATTGCATTGAGATTCTGTAGATCTGCTTGGGTGGTATTGATTGACACGTTGACAACGTTGTCTTCCTATCTATGAAGTCAAGATGTCTTCCTATTTATTTAGGTTTTATTTAATCTCTTTCAGTAATGATTTGTAATTTAAAGTGTTGAAATCTGTCACATCCCCAGTTAAACTTATTTCCAGGTATTTTATTCCTTTAGATGCTACTGTTAATGTGATTGCTTTCTTAATTTCTTTTTCTGATTATTCATTGCCGGTATGTAGGAACACAACTGATTTTTTTGTGTTGATCTTGTATCATGC